TTCGCAAAAAATCATGATGTAACCATCATTGAATTTGTCAAAAATCGGCCTTATTTTCGTGGTCGAGATTTTGATGCCGTTCGACAGGCTGGATCCCCACGGTCCTGCGAATGTAGGTCCTTCGCCGATCTGGCCCTATTTGTCTGAGATATACCCTTCCGAAGATTTGGATTTGCGTATCATTCCAAAAATAATGGTTTCTTCTGCACGCTATATCTCTGCTTTAAGGCAGCCGATCGGGGCGCGGCATGTCTTTTCGTGATCGGGAGAATCCTGCCAACCGATTGTGATCAGAATCAAGGACATCGGGCTTGTCACGATTTTCGCAAAAAATCATGATGTAACCATCATTGAATTTGTCAAAAATCGGCCTTATTTTCGTGGTCGAGATTTTGATGCCGTTCGACAGGCTGGATCCCCACGGTCCTGCGAATGTAGGTCCTTCGCCGATCTGGCCCTATTTGTCTGAGATATACCCTTCCGAAGATTTGGATTTGCGTATCATTCCAAAAATAATGGTTTCTTCTGCACGCTATATCTCTGCTTTAAGGCAGCCGATCGGGGCGCGGCATGTCTTTTCGTGATCGGGAGAATCCTGCCAACCGATTGTGATCAGAATCAAGGACATCGGGCTTGTCACGATTTTCGCAAAAAATCATGATGTAACCATCATTGAATTTGTCAAAAATCGGCCTCATTTTCGTGGTCGAGATTTTGATGCCGTTCGGCAGGCTGGATCTCCACGGTCCTGCGAATGTAGGTCCTTCGCCGATCTGGCCCTATTTGTCTGAGATATAGCCTTCCGAAGATTTTGATTTGCGTATCATTCCAAAAATAATGGTTTCTTCTGCACGCTATATCTCAGCTTTAAGGCAGCCGATCGGGGCGCGGCATGTCTTTTCGTGATCGGGAGAATCCTGCCAACCGATTGTGATCAGAATCAAGGACATCGGGCTTGTCACGATTTTCGCAAAAAATCATGATGTAACCATCATTGAATTTGTCAAAAATCGGCCTTATTTTCGTGGTCGAGATTTTGATGCCGTTCGACAGGCTGGATCCCCACGGTCCTGCGAATGTAGGTCCTTCGCCGATCTGGCCCTATTTGTCTGAGATATAGCCTTCCGAAGATTTTGATTTGCGTATCATTCCAAAAATAATGGTTTCTTCTGCACGCTATATCTCAGCTTTAAGGCAGCCGATCGGGGCGCGGCATGTCTTTTCGTGATCGGGAGAATCCTGCCAACCGATTGTGATCAGAATCAAGGACATCGGGCTTGTCACGATTTTCGCAAAAAATCATGATGTAACCATCATTGAATTTGTCAAAAATCGGCCTTATTTTCGTGGTCGAGATTTTGATGCCGTTCGACAGGCTGGATCCCCACGGTCCTGCGAATGTAGGTCCTTCGCCGATCTGGCCCTATTTGTCTGAGATATAGCCTTCCGAAGATTTTGATTTGCGTATCATTCCAAAAATAATGGTTTCTTCTGCACGCTATATCTCTGCTTTAAGGCAGCCGATCGGGGCGCGGCATGTCTTTTCGTGATCGGGAGAATCCTGCCAACCGATTGTGATCAGAATCAAGGACATCGGGCTTGTCACGATTTTCGCAAAAAATCATGATGTAACCATCATTGAATTTGTCAAAAATCGGCCTCATTTTCGTGGTCGAGATTTTGATGCCGTTCGGCAGGCTGGATCTCCACGGTCCTGCGAATGTAGGTCCTTCGCCGATCTGGCCCTATTTGTCTGAGATATAGCCTTCCGAAGATTTTGATTTGCGTATCATTCCAAACATAATGGTTTCTTCTGCACGCTATATCTCTGCTTTAAGGCAGCCGATCGGGGCGCGGCATGTCTTTTCGTGATCGGGAGAGTCCTGCCAACCAATTGCCATCAGAATCAAGGACATCGAGCTTGTTCCACAGGCTGGATCCCCACGGTCCTGCGAATGTAGGTCCTTCGCCGATCTGGCCCTATTTGTCTGAGATATAGCCTTCCGAAGATTTTGATTTGCGTATCATTCCAAAAATAATGGTTTCTTCTGCACGCTATATCTCTGCTTTAAGGCAGCCGATCGGGGCGCGGCATGTCTTTTCGTGATCGGGAGAATCCTGCCAACCGATTGTGATCAGAATCAAGGACATCGAGCATGTCACGATTTTCGCAAAAAATCATGATGTAACCATCATTGAATTTGTCAAAAATCGGCCTCATTTTCGTGGTCGAGATTTTGATGCCGTTCGGCAGGCTGGATCTCCACGGTCCTGCGAATGTAGGTCCTTCGCCGATCTGGCCCTATTTGTCTGAGATATAGCCTTCCGAAGATTTTGATTTGCGTATCATTCCAAACATAATGGTTTCTTCTGCACGCCATATCCCTGCTATAAGGCAGCCGATCGGGGCGCGGCATGTCTTTTCGTGATCGGGAGAATCCTGCCAACCGATTGTGATCAGAATCAAGGACATCGAGCTTGTTCCACAGGCTGGATCCCCACGGTCCTGCGAATGTAGGTCCTTCGCCGATCTGGCCCTATTTGTCTGAGATATACCCTTCCGAAGATTTGGATTTGCGTATCATTCCAAAAATAATGGTTTCTTCTGCACGCCATATCTCTGCTATAAGGCAGCCGATCGGGGCGCGGCATGTCTTTTCGTGATCGGGAGAATCCTGCCAACCGATTGTGATCAGAATCAAGGACATCGAGCTTGTCACGATTTTCGCAAAAAATCATGATGTAACCATCATTGAATTTGTCAAAAATCGGCCTCATTTTCGTGGTCGAGATTTTGATGCCGTTCGGCAGGCTGGATCTCCACGGTCCTGCGAATGTAGGTCCTTCGCCGATCTGGCCCTATTTGTCTGAGATATAGCCTTCCGAAGATTTTGATTTGCGTATCATTCCAAACATAATGGTTTCTTCTGCACGCCATATCCCTGCTATAAGGCAGCCGATCGGGGCGCGGCATGTCTTTTCGTGATCGGGAGAATCCTGCCAACCGATTGTGATCAGAATCAAGGACATCGGGCATGTCACGATTTTCGCAAAAAATCATGATGTAACCATCATTGAATTTGTCAAAAATCGGCCTCATTTTCGTGGTCGAGATTTTGATGCCGTTCGGCAGGCTGGATCCCCACGGTCCTGCGAATGTAGGTCCTTCGCCGATCTGGCCCTATTTGTCTGAGATATACCCTTCCGAAGATTTGGATTTGCGTATCATTCCAAAAATAATGGTTTCTTCTGCACGCCATATCCCTGCTATAAGGCAGCCGATCGGGGCGCGGCATGTCTTTGCGTGATCGGAAGAATCCTGCCAACCGATTGTGATCAGAATCAAGGACATCGAGCATGTCACGATTTTCGCAAAAAATCATGATGTAACCATCATTGAATTTGTCAAAAATCGGCCTTATTTTCGTGGTCGAGATTTTGATGCCGTTCGACAGGCTGGATCCCCACGGTCCTGCGAATGTAGGTCCTTCGCCGATCTGGCCCTATTTGTCTGAGATATAGCCTTCCGAAGATTTTGATTTGCGTATCATTCCAAACATAATGGTTTCTTCTGCACGCCATATCCCTGCTATAAGGCAGCCGATCGGGGCGCGGCATGTCTTTTCGTGATCGGGAGAATCCTGCCAACCGATTGTGATCAGAATCAAGGACATCGAGCATGTCACGATTTTCGCAAAAAATCATGATGTAACCATCATTGAATTTGTCAAAAATCGGCCTCATTTTCGTGGTCGAGATTTTGATGCCGTTCGGCAGGCTGGATCTCCACGGTCCTGCGAATGTAGGTCCTTCGCCGATCTGGCCCTATTTGTCTGAAATATACCCTTCCGAAGATTTGGATTTGCGTATCATTCCAAAAATAATGGTTTCTTCTGCACGCTATATCTCTGCTTTAAGGCAGCCGATCGGGGCGCGGCATGTCTTTTCGTGATCGGGAGAATCCTGCCAGCCGATTGTGATCAGAATCAAGGACATCGAGCATGTCACGATTTTCGCAAAAAATCATGATGTAACCATCATTGAATTTGTCAAATATCGGCCTCATTTTCGTGGTGGAGATTTTGATGCCGTTCGGCAGGCTGGATCTCCACGGTCCTGCGAATGTAGGTCCTTCGCCGATCTGGCCCTATTTGTCTGAAATATACCCTTCCGAAGATTTGGATTTGCGTATCATTCCAAAAATAATGGTTTCTTCTGCACGCTATATCTCTGCTTTAAGGCAGCCGATCGGGGCGCGGCATGTCTTTTCGTGATCGGGAGAATCCTGCCAACCGATTGTGATCAGAATCAAGGACATCGAGCATGTCACGATTTTCGCAAAAAATCATGATGTAACCATCATTGAATTTGTCAAATATCGGCCTCATTTTCGTGGTCGAGATTTTGATGCCGTTCGGCAGGCTGGATCTCCACGGTCCTGCGAATGTAGGTCCTTCGCCGATCTGGCCCTATTTGTCTGAGATATACCCTTCCGAAGATTTGGATTTGCGTATCATTCCAAAAATAATGGTTTCTTCTGCACGCCATATCCCTGCTATAAGGCAGCCGATCGGGGCGCGATTGTGATCAGAATCAAGGACATCGAGCATGTCACGATTTTCGCAAAAAATCATGATGTAACCATCATTGAATTTGTCAAAAATCGGCCCCATTTTCGTGGTCGAGATTTTGATGCCGTTCGAGAGGCTGGATCCCCACGGTCCTGCGAATGTAGGACCTTCGCTGATCTGGCCCTATTTGTCTGAGATATACCCTTCCGAAGATTTGGATTTGCGTATCATTTCAAAAATAATGGTTTCTTCTGTACGCCATATCTCTGCTATAAGGCAGCCGATCGTGGCGCGGCATGTCTTTTCGTGATCGGAAGAGTCCTGTCAATCAGCTGCCATCGACAAAAAAGACATCCATTACCTGTATATTTAAATAAAAATGAATAATATACTTTCACTGACAGTATAACTTTTCTTTATTCTTAGAAAATGCTATTGGTCCTGCCACTAACCATACAGTACACCGAACATGTCGCAAACGAACTTTCTGGATTAGATCCCAGGATCTTCGACTCTGGCAATCTGCTAAAACCGCGTCATCATGAGCCAGCCATGACGGCCATTCATACGCCGCCGAATCAAACACTGGGCTTCAGCTTCGAGACGCGTAAGTGAATCAGTATATAATTGTGGACATATTTTAAAATATGTCTTCCTTCACAGAGGGCTTTGCCACAAATCGAGTCGTATCCAAGCATTACCGAGGCGTCGTCGAGACAGACCGAGCACAATCCCAGCCAGACAGAACCGTATTCCAGCATGACAGGAGCGCACCCCTTGCAAGATCCGAACCCAACAAGCCATCGTAATCATTCGACCTGGCCATCGACAACAAGGACTTTCCCTATGGCAACCAAGGGAGAGATTGTTGCATATAGGTTACAGATAGATCAAAATGTTTTGCACTTGTTTCTTTATTTATTTATTTGATTATTTATTTAAGTTTTGATGAATAAAACTATTGAAAAAACATCCTTGCTCTGTTCTGTATCCGGGAGACTACCCCGATTACAAAAAGGCGTGGCACGCCATGATATGTTCACAAATAGAGGAGAAAACAACATTTTTTTGATTGGGGAAAAGGTCCTTAATCCTTGGTAAGGACTCCATTAAATCAGGGACATTTTTCCGAGCACAGGGAGCCGTCGCACGCCCAGAGCGGACCACAAATAACGGAGAAAACATAACTGGCTTGAAATTTGTTATTTTTGAAAATTTAGTTCAAGAAATCACCGATGGGTGACTGGGATACCAGGCGAACAGAAATCAGCAGAAGGTCGCAGATTTTTTAATTTTGGAGCCCCCAAAAGTATGCACCACGTTTTTTTAATATCCTAAAGTTGCTTGCTGCTGATTTCTGTTCGCCTGGTATCCCAGCCATTTGTCGCGAGTTCTTTTCTTGTACGGTGGCGCCCCCATCAGGGATTTCTTGAACTACATTTTTTAAAATGTTCCGTTATTTATGGGCCGATCTGGGCGTGCGATGGCTTCCTGTGCTCGGAAAAATGTCCCTGATTTATGAAGTCCTTTTCAAGGACCAAGGATATCCAGGATCAAAAATACTCATTTTCTCCACTATTTATGGCCCGTTATGGGCGTGCGACGGCTTCCTGTATTTAGAAAAATGTCCCTGATTTTATGAGGTCCTTATGAAGCACCAAGGATCAAGGATTTTTCTCCAGACATATATATCTGGTTTTCTGCCTTATTTATGGCCCGATCGGGTCGTTTCATCGCCCCACGTGATACGAAAAGTTTCCTTGATCCTTCGGTAAGGACTCCAACAACCCCAACTATACATCTTTAGTTTTCTCTGCTTATTGTGGCCCTTGTGGCTTCTTGTGTTCTTAAGATCATCCTTGATGTAATGCAGTCCTTATCAAGGACCAAGGATCAAGGATACTTTCTCCAGACATATATATCTTGTTTTCTCCCTTATTTGTGGCCTGAGCGGAAGGTGCCATGGCCCGTCGAGACCTAAAAAATTTCCTTGATCCTTCGGAAAGGACTCCAACAACTCTTACCATACATATCTATTTTTTTCGCAATTTGTGGGCCGATCTGGTCGTGCGATGACTTCTTGTGATCGACAAAATATCTCTGATTTAATGGAGTCCTTACCAAGGATCAAGGACCTTTTCCCCAATCAAAACGAGGGGGAACGTTGTGAGTTGCTGCGGACACCGCAACTCTAGAGTTATACCCGATACTAAGTCAGTATGGCTCTCCTCCGGCAGACGCCGCTAATATTTAACGACACGACAAAGAGTGCGTGCGAGAGAGACAGAAAATCAATCTGAGCGTGACGTCACGAGCTGCGTAGCCACTGCAAATTGATTTGTTCCTTTTGGCTATAAAAATGATCTGATCTGATCCAGATTCAGCAATCTAATAGATATGGTCATTATCTATGATTCTGCGTTTTTAGTTTTCTCAAATCTGCAATATTGTGGATGCCTCAGATTTTCGTCCTTTGCGGGGGCGGAAGGGGGTGTGGCGAAATTTGGACATGAAACGGTCAAGGTTCGATATCACAGGAGTGTGGATACCAAATTTGGTTGCTCTGGCTTTTATAGGTTCTGAGATCCTTGAACTCATATTTTGCAATTGGCAAAACCGACCATGAAACCTGTGTGTTAGAGTGAGACAGAGCGAGAAAGAGTGAAATTGTTTTCGTGATTCTGGCTATAATAATTATACGATCTGGTTCAGATTTTGCACTCTAGAAGATATAGTCATCTTCTACGATTCTGCGTTTTTAGTTTTCTCGTATCGTCAAAATTGTGGATGCCACAGATTTTCGCCCTTTGTGGGGGCGGAAGTGGGCGGGGCAAAGTTTTGAAATATTTTTGGAGCAGTGACATATCACAGAAGTCTGGATCCAAAACATCGTTGCTCTAGCTCTTATAGTCTTTGAGCATTAGGCGCTGAAGGGGACGGACAGACGGACAGACGGACGGACGGACAGACAGACAGGGCTCAATCGACTCGGCTATTGATGCTGATCAAGAATATATATACTTTATAGGGTCGGAAACGATTCCCTCTGGACGTTACACACATCCACTTTTACCACAAATCTAATATACCCCAATACTCATTTTGAGTATCGGGTATAAAAATTTAGTTTTCTCCTCTATTTGTGAACCCATCATGGAGTGCCACGCCTTTTTGTAATCGGGGTAGTCTCCCGGATACAGAACAGAGCAAGAATTATTTTTCAAAAGTTTTATTCATCAAAACTTAGCTTAGTATAAATAAACAAACAAGTCGAAAACATTTTGATCTATCTTTAACCTAAATGCAACAATATCTATCTAGAGTCTAGTAGAACGCGTAGCTCCTCCCTTGGTTGCGATAGTCAAAGTCCTTGTTGTCGATGGCCAGGTCGAAGGATGACTTTTAAGTTTCGGATATTCCAAGGGGTGCGCTTCTGTCCTGCTGGGATACAAAGCTACCGGTCGTGGCGCGGAATGTCTTTTCGTGATCGGGAGAGTCCTGCCAACCAATTGTCATCAGAATCAAGGACATCGAGCTTGTTCCACAGGCTGGATCCCCACGGTCCTGCGAATGTAGGTCCTTCGCCGATCTGGCCCTATTTGTCTGAGATATAGGCTTCCGAAGATTTTGATTTGCGTATCATTCCAAACATAATGGTTTCTTCTGCACGCCATATCCCTGCTATAAGGCAGCCGATCGGGGCGCGGCATGTCTTTTCGTGATCGGAAGAGTCCTGTCAATCAGCTGCCATCGACAAAAAAGACATCCATTACCTGTATATTTAAATAAAAATGAATAATATACTTTCACTGACAGTATAACTTTTCTTTATTCTTAGAATGCTATTGGTCCTGCCACTAACCATACAGTACACCGAACATGTCGCAAACGAACTTTCTGGATTAGATCCCAGGATCTTCGACTCTGGCAATCTGCTAAAACCGCGTCATCATGAGCCAGCCATGACGGCCATTCATACGCCGCCGAATCAAACACTGGGCTTCAGCTTCGAGACGCGTAAGTGAATCAGTATATAATTGTGGACATATTTTAAAATATGTCTTCCTTCACAGAGGGCTTTGCCACAAATCGAGTCGTATCCAAGCATTACCGAGGCGTCGTCGAGACAGACCGAGCACAATCCCAGCCAGACAGAACCGTATTCCAGCATGACAGGAGCGCACCCCTTGCAAGATCCGAACCCAACAAGCCATCGTAATCATTCGACCTGGCCATCGACAACAAGGACTTTCCCTATGGCAACCAAGGGAGAGATTGTTGCATATAGGTTACAGATAGATCAAAATGTTTTGCACTTGTTTCTTTATTTATTTATTTGATTATTTATTTAAGTTTTGATGAATAAAACTATTGAAAAAACATCCTTGCTCTGTTCTGTATCCGGGAGACTACCCCGATTACAAAAAGGCGTGGCACGCCATGATATGTTCACAAATAGAGGAGAAAACAACATTTTTTTGATTGGGGAAAAGGTCCTTAATCCTTGGTAAGGACTCCATTAAATCAGGGACATTTTTCCGAGCACAGGGAGCCGTCGCACGCCCAGAGCGGACCACAAATAACGGAGAAAACATAACTGGCTTGAAATTTGTTATTTTTGAAAATTTAGTTCAAGAAATCACCGATGGGTGACTGGGATACCAGGCGAACAGAAATCAGCAGAAGGTCGCAGATTTTTTAATTTTGGAGCCCCCAAAAGTATGCACCACGTTTTTTTAATATCCTAAAGTTGCTTGCTGCTGATTTCTGTTCGCCTGGTATCCCAGCCATTTGTCGCGAGTTCTTTTCTTGTACGGTGGCGCCCCCATCAGGGATTTCTTGAACTACATTTTTTAAAATGTTCCGTTATTTATGGGCCGATCTGGGCGTGCGATGGCTTCCTGTGCTCGGAAAAATGTCCCTGATTTATGAAGTCCTTTTCAAGGACCAAGGATATCCAGGATCAAAAATACTCATTTTCTCCACTATTTATGGCCCGTTATGGGCGTGCGACGGCTTCCTGTATTTAGAAAAATGTCCCTGATTTTATGAAGTCCTTATGAAGCACCAAGGATCAAGGATTTTTCTCCAGACATATATATCTGGTTTTCTGCCTTATTTATGGCCCGATCGGGTCGTTTCATCGCCCCACGTGATACGAAAAGTTTCCTTGATCCTTCGGTAAGGACTCCAACAACCCCAACTATACATCTTTAGTTTTCTCTGCTTATTGTGGCCCTTGTGGCTTCTTGTGTTCTTAAGATCATCCTTGATGTAATGCAGTCCTTATCAAGGACCAAGGATCAAGGATACTTTCTCCAGACATATATATCTTGTTTTCTCCCTTATTTGTGGCCTGAGCGGAAGGTGCCATGGCCCGTCGAGACCTAAAAAATTTCCTTGATCCTTCGGAAAGGACTCCAACAACTCTTACCATACATATCTATTTTTTTTCGCAATTTGTGGGCCGATCTGGTCGTGCGATGACTTCTTGTGATCGACAAAATATCTCTGATTTAATGGAGTCCTTACCAAGGATCAAGGACCTTTTCCCCAATCAAAAAAATTTAGTTTTCTCCTCTATTTGTGAACCCATCATGGAGTGCCACGCCTTTTTGTAATCGGGGTAGTCTCCCGGATACAGAACAGAGCAAGAATTATTTTTCAAAAGTTTTATTCATCAAAACTTAGCTTAGTATAAATAAACAAACAAGTCGAAAACATTTTGATCTATCTTTAACCTAAATGCAACAATATCTATCTAGAGTCTAGTAGAACGCGTAGCTCCTCCCTTGGTTGCGATAGTCAAAGTCCTTGTTGTCGATGGCCAGGTCGAAGGATGACTTTTAAGTTTCGGATATTCCAAGGGGTGCGCTTCTGTCCTGCTGGGATACAAAGCTACCGATCGTGGCGCGGAATGTCTTTTCGTGATCGGGAGAGTCCTGCCAACCAATTGTCATCAGAATCAAGGACATCGAGCTTGTTCCACAGGCTGGATCCCCACGGTCCTGCGAATGTAGGTCCTTCGCCGATCTGGCCCTATTTGTCTGAGATATAGGCTTCCGAAGATTTTGATTTGCGTATCATTCCAAACATAATGGTTTCTTCTGCACGCCATATCCCTGCTATAAGGCAGCCGATCGGGGCGCGGCATGTCTTTTCGTGATCGGGAGAATCCTGCCAACCGATTGTGATCAGAATCAAGGACATCGAGCATGTCACGATTTTCGCAAAAAATCATGATGTAACCATCATTGAATTTGACAAAAATCGGCCTCATTTTCGTGGTCGAGATTTTGATGCCGTTCGGCAGGCTGGATCTCCACGGTCCTGCGAATGTAGGTCCTTCGCTATTTGTCTGAAATATACCCTTCCGAAGATTTGGATTTGCGTATCATTCCAAAAATAATGGTTTCTTCTGCACGCTATATCTCTGCTTTAAGGCAGCCGATCGGGGCGCGGCATGTCTTTTCGTGATCGGGAGAATCCTGCCAACCGATTGTGATCAGAATCAAGGACATCGAGCATGTCACGATTTTCGCAAAAAATCATGATGTAACCATCATTGAATTTGACAAAAATCGGCCTCATTTTCGTGGTCGAGATTTTGATGCCGTTCGGCAGGCTGGATCTCCACGGTCCTGCGAATGTAGGTCCTTCGCCGATCTGGCCCTATTTGTCTGAAATATACCCTTCCGAAGATTTGGATTTGCGTATCATTCCAAAAATAATGGTTTCTTCTGCACGCTATATCTCTGCTTTAAGGCAGCCGATCGGGGCGCGGCATGTCTTTTCGTGATCGGGAGAATCCTGCCAACCGATTGTGATCAGAATCAAGGACATCGGGCTTGTCACGATTTTCGCAAAAAATCATGATGTAACCATCATTGAATTTGTCAAAAATCGGCCTCATTTTCGTGGTCGAGATTTTGATGCCGTTCGGCAGGCTGGATCTCCACGGTCCTGCGAATGTAGGTCCTTCGCCGATCTGGCCCTATTTGTCTGAGATATACCCTTCCGAAGATTTGGATTTGCGTATCATTCCAAAAATAATGGTTTCTTCTGCACGCCATATCCCTGCTATAAGGCAGCCGATCGGGGCGCGATTGTGATCAGAATCAAGGACATCGAGCATGTCACGATTTTCGCAAAAAATCATGATGTAACCATCATTGAATTTGTCAAAAATCGCCCTCATTTTCGTGGTCGAGATTTTGATGCCGTTCGACAGCCTGGATCCCCACGGTCCTGCGAATGTAGGACCTTCGCTGATCTGGCCCTATTTTTCTGAGATATACCCTTCCGAAGATTTGGATTTGCGTATCATTTCAAAAATAATGGTTTCTTCTGTACGCCATATCTCTGCTATAAGGCAGCCGATCGGGGCGCGGCATGTCTTTTCGTGATCGGGAGAATCCTGCCAACCGATTGTGATCAGAATCAAGGACATCGAGCTTGTCACGATTTTCGCAAAAAATCATGATGTAACCATCATTGAATTTGTCAAAAATCGCCCTCATTTTCGTGGTCGAGATTTTGATGCCGTTCGACAGCCTGGATCCCCACGGTCCTGCGAATGTAGGACCTTCGCTGATCTGGCCCTATTTTTCTGAGATATACCCTTCCGAAGATTTGGATTTGCGTATCATTTCAAAAATAATGGTTTCTTCTGTACGCCATATCTCTGCTATAAGGCAGCCGATCGTGGCGCGGCATGTCTTTTCGTGATCGGAAGAGTCCTGTCAATCAGCTGCCATCGACAAAAAAGACATCCATTACCTGTATATTTAAATAAAAATGAATAATATACTTTCACTGACAGTATAACTTTTCTTTATTCTTAGAATGCTATTGGTCCTGCCACTAACCATACAGTACATACGCACCGAACATGTCGCAAACGAACTTTCTGGATTAGATCCCAGGATCTTCGACTCTGGCAATCTGCTAAAACCGCGTCATCATGAGCCAGCCATGACGGCCATTCATACGCCGCCGAATCAAACACTGGGCTTCAGCTTCGAGACGCGTAAGTGAATCAGTATATAATTGTGGACATATTTTAAAATATGTCTTCCTTCACAGAGGGCTTTGCCACAAATCGAGTCGTATCCAAGCATTACCGAGGCGTCGTCGAGACAGACCGAGCACAATCCCAGCCAGACAGAACCGTATTCCAGCATGACAGGAGCGCACCCCTTGCAAGATCCGAACCCAACAAGCCATCGTAATCATTCGACCTGGCCATCGACAACAAGGACTTTCCCTATGGCAACCAAGGGAGAGATTGTTGCATATAGGTTACAGATAGATCAAAATGTTTTGCACTTGTTTCTTTATTTATTTATTTGATTATTTATTTAAGTTTTGATGAATAAAACTATTGAAAAAACATCCTTGCTCTGTTCTGTATCCGGGAGACTACCCCGATTACAAAAAGGCGTGGCACGCCATGATATGTTCACAAATAGAGGAGAAAACTACATTTTTTTGATTGGGGAAAAGGTCCTTAATCCTTGGTAAGGACTCCATTAAATCAGGGACATTTTTCCGAGCACAGGGAGCCGTCGCACGCCCAGAGCGGACCACAAATAACGGAGAAAACATAACTGGCTTGAAATTTGTTATTTTTGAAAATTTAGTTCAAGAAATCACCGATGGGTGACTGGGATACCAGGCGAACAGAAATCAGCAGAAGGTCGCAGATTTTTTAATTTTGGAGCCCCCAAAAGTATGCACCACGTTTTTTTAATATCCTAAAGTTGCTTGCTGCTGATTTCTGTTCGCCTGGTATCCCAGCCATTTGTCGCGAGTTCTTTTCTTGTACGGTGGCGCCCCCATCAGGGATTTCTTGAACTACATTTTTTAAAATGTTCCGTTATTTATGGGCCGATCTGGGCGTGCGATGGCTTCCTGTGCTCGGAAAAATGTCCCTGATTTATGAAGTCCTTTTCAAGGACCAAGGATATCCAGGATCAAAAATACTCATTTTCTCCACTATTTATGGCCCGTTATGGGCGTGCGACGGCTTCCTGTATTTAGAAAAATGTCCCTGATTTTATGAAGTCCTTATGAAGCACCAAGGATCAAGGATTTTTCTCCAGACATATATATCTGGTTTTCTGCCTTATTTATGGCCCGATCGGGTCGTTTCATCGCCCCACGTGATACGAAAAGTTTCCTTGATCCTTCGGTAAGGACTCCAACAACCCCAACTATACATCTTTAGTTTTCTCTGCTTATTGTGGCCCTTGTGGCTTCTTGTGTTCTTAAGATCATCCTTGATGTAATGCATTCCTTATCAAGGACCAAGGATCAAGGATACTTTCTCCAGACATATATATCTTGTTTTCTCCCTTATTTGTGGCCTGAGCGGAAGGTGCCATGGCCCGTCGAGACCTAAAAAATTTCCTTGATCCTTCGGAAAGGACTCCAACAACTCTTACCATACATATCTATTTTTTTCGCAATTTGTGGGCCGATCTGGTCGTGCGATGACTTCTTGTGATCGACAAAATATCTCTGATTTAATGGAGTCCTTACCAAGGATCAAGGACCTTTTCCCCAATCAAAAAAATTTAGTTTTCTCCTCTATTTGTGAACCCATCATGGAGTGCCACGCCTTTTTGTAATCGGGGTAGTCTCCCGGATACAGAACAGAGCAAGAATTATTTTTCAAAAGTTTTATTCATCAAAACTTAGCTTAGTATAAATAAACAAACAAGTCGAAAACATTTTGATCTATCTTTAACCTAAATGCAACAATATCTATCTAGAGTCTAGTAGAACGCGTAGCTCCTCCCTTGGTTGCGATAGTCAAAGTCCTTGTTGTCGATGGCCAGGTCGAAGGATGACTTTTAAGTTTCGGATATTCCAAGGGGTGCGCTTCTGTCCTGCTGGGATACAAAGCTACCGATCGTGGCGCGGAATGTCTTTTCGTGATCGGGAGAGTCCTGCCAACCAATTGTCATCAGAATCAAGGACATCATGCTTGTTCCACAGGCTGGATCCCCACGGTCCTGCGAATGTAGGTCCTTCGCCGATCTGGCCCTATTTGTCTGAGATATACCCTTCCGAAGATTTGGATTTGCGTATCATTCCAAAAATAATGGTTTCTTCTGCACGCTATATCTCTGCTTTAAGGCAGCCGATCGGGGCGCGGCATGTCTTTTCGTGATCGGGAGAATCCTGCCAACCGATTGTGATCAGAATCAAGGACATCGGGCTTGTCACGATTTTCGCAAAAAATCATGATGTAACCATCATTGAATTTGTCAAAAATCGGCCTCATTTTCGTGGTCGAGATTTTGATGCCGTTCGACAGGCTGGATCCCCACGGTCTTGCGAATATAGGTCCTTCGCCGATCTGGCCCTATTTGTCTGAGATATAGCCTTCCGAAGATTTTGATTTGCGTATCATTCCAAAAATAATGGTTTCTTCTGCACGCCATATCCCTGCTATAAGGCAGCCGATCGGGGCGCGGCATGTCTTTTCGTGATCGGGAGAATCCTGCCAACCGATTGTGATCAGAATCAAGGACATCGAGCTTGTCACGATTTTCGCAAAAAATCATGATGTAACCATCATTGAATTTGTCAAAAATCGCCCTCATTTTCGTGGTCGAGATTTTGATGCCGTTCGACAGCCTGGATCCCCACGGTCCTGCGAATGTAGGACCTTCGCTGATCTGGCCCTATTTTTCTGAGATATACCCTTCCGAAGATTTGGATTTGCGTATCATTTCAAAAATAATGGTTTCTTCTGTACGCCATATCTCTGCTATAAGGCAGCCGATCGTGGCGCGGCATGTCTTTTCGTGATCGGAAGAGTCCTGTCAATCAGCTGCCATCGACAAAAAAGACATCCATTACCTGTATATTTAAATAAAAATGAATAATATACTTTCACTGACAGTATAACTTTTCTTTATTCTTAGAATGCTATTGGTCCTGCCACTAACCGTACAGTACATACGCACCGAACATGTCGCAAACGAACTTTCTGGATTAGATCCCAGGATCTTCGACTCTGGCAATCTGCTAAAACCGCGTCATCATGAGCCAGCCATGACGGCCATTCATACGCCGCCGAATCAAACACTGGGCTTCAGCTTCGAGACGCGTAAGTGAATCAGTGTATAATTGTGGACATATTTTAAAATATGTCTTCCTTCACAGAGGGCTTTGCCACAAATCGAGTCGTATCCAAGCATTACCGAGGCGTCGTCGAGACAGACCGAGCACAATCCCAGCCAGACAGAACCGTATTTCTGTATCCGGGAGACTACCCCGATTACAAAAAGGCGTGGCACGCCATGATGGGTTCACAAATAGAGGAGAAAACTAAATTTTGGGGATTGGGGAAAAGGTCCTTGATCCTTGGTAAGGAATCCATTAAATTAGGGACATTTTGTCGATCACAATAAGCCATCGCACGACCAGATCGGCCCACAAATTGCGAAAAAAATAGATATGTATGGTTAGAGTTGTAGGAGTCCTTTCCGAAGGATCAAGAAAATTTTTTAGATCTCGACGAGCTATGGCACCTTCCGCTCAGGCCACAAATAAGGGAGAAAACAAGATATCGATGTCTGGAGAAAGTTCAATACATAATTAGTGTGGATGCCTCTTAAAAATTTCCCTTTCTACTAAGGTCGCGGACTTTTAATCTTAATTTTATAGACTCTCCTACCTGAGACAGCTATTGTCTCTACCTAGAGGACACCATCGCTTACGTTTACAAATCCACCCCTAAATCCCACGGCTTTTACACTCATAAAAAGACTTCTATTTGGTGTAATGTTTACAATGTTTATTGTTATTAATGTAAAGAAATAAGGATATAATTGAAATGAAATTTGGATTTAACCACAAATTGTTAGTGAAATAGTAATATACTGGTTACTCGTACTTATGTGTTGTACATATTCGAGTGTCAAAATAGGCCGTCGTCTATATAGTTTATAATGGTTATCCGAATGTGAAGTATTGAAATCTATTTTTACGAATAGAAAATGAACAGTTTTTATACCCGATCTTATTGTAGTTGAATACAAAAAAAAAAACTATACTAAATTTTCAATGGTGTTTTTGTTTTCTAAATAATTTGGGATTATATGTCTCATTAATTTTTTGATCTCAAAGATGCGTCAAGGCTTATTCGAATCGTCTGATTCCCTTACATGCCCAAAATGTCGTCGCCATCTTCCTCCAGTGAGTCCCGAGGCTCCCGTTTGAGTCCTATGCCGCCGCCCAGGACCGAGAAGTCATCAGCTGCGATGGTGGCAGCGGTCACCGTGTACTCCTTTGCGCGCTGAGTACGACGCTTCTCTTGCTCTTGCGGATCGGCTAGCACATCAGCCAGGGCAATCCTCATACCGGGGACGGTTTTCTTGGTGTTGGCCACCACTAGGCTCCGCTTCAGGGGAGAGCTAGGCACCCCTGACAGGGAGGAGCCGGAGCCGGAGCTGGAGGCCGGCTTGGGCTGCACGAAGTCGTTGAAGGCGTTTCCCTTGGCGCTGGTGATTTGCGGGAGGCGCTGCGGGGCCGAGGACCCGCCGGTCGGCGAGGGCTGCTTCTGGCTGGCGGTTACGCTGCCTGCCGACTTTCTCACCAGTATACTGTTGCCGTGTGGGGCCGCGGCAGCTCCAGAACCGAGGCCAAGTGCGACGGTCCCGGAGTAACGGGGCCGCTGATTGGGCGGTACCATGCCCGGGGCGGGGGCCCCCATTAGGCGACGCTTGAGCATTTGTGCTTCCATGGGATTGAGATTCTGCTGTGGATTGTGCGAAATCATGTTCGTGTTGCCGGGTGGCGTGCCCAAGGTCATTATGGGTCCGCCGCTGCCACACACGGAGAATCTACGGGGCATTTCGCGCACCTTGATGAGAGGTCCGGACTTAGGGGGCAACACCTGTTGCGGGTTCGGCCCGAAAAGGGTGTTCATCGCGGAGGCGTTCTGTGGCCGTGTAGCGGCTACGGCTGTGCCTCGCCTGGGGCTGGCCGGAGGAGCCCGGGTACCACGACTGACGCTGGTTCCGGAGCAGTTGCTGTCGGCGCTGTTCTTGCGCAGCTGCTCCGTGGGGACATTAACACCAATGCCGACGCCCGCGCCCACGCCGCTCGGCTTGCCGTTTGCCTGCACAATACGGTAAATCTTCTTCTCCTCCGGAGACGTGACCAGGTTTACTCCGTTGCACTGCTTGAAGACGCGCTGAATGAGGTGGCGCGGTTGCCCGGTTGGGGCAGGTGCTGCGGTTGGGGCTCGAACTGCCGGGCGCAACGTGTCCGCGACGACGGGCAAAGGACCGGGCTGCGAAATTGTGCCCGACTGCTTGGCGGCACAAACCATACTCACTAGCTCCCTCACCAGATGCATCTCACGATCCGAGACGTGCTCAAAGCCAGACGGTGTGTTGATGTTGAAATGCTGCTGTTCATCTGAATTTGGGAAGGCAGTTGCGTCATCAAAGGTCTCCATTAAGGACTGGAACACCTTTTTCTTGAAGAGTAACTTCTGGCGGGGATTCATTTCCGCCATCTGCGGGCGGACCATCTCTAAAAAGTGCTCATCAGAGAAAATGTCTGGGCTCTCTGTCTGCATTCCTCGCTCTATTCTGGACTTCAGTGTCATAAAAGAGGGAATCACGGTGGGTCCGACCCCAGTTGCGGTCATGATCGGCAATGCACTGGCAGTCACCTGGCCGCTGCTTGAGACGGCGCTCGTGGTGGGCGCAACCAGGGTGGTCACCGTCACAGAGCTTGGCAGCGAGCTGGTGAGCAGTAGAGCATTGTTGCTGATTCCGTTGGATGTAGAGGCAGAAGTGGCCTTGGGGAATGGGAGTGAGACTGAAACTGGGATCGAGATTGGCGGTGCGGGTGGGGCTTTGACTGAGCCTTGATTGCTTGGCGAAGGGCTTGAGACTGGGGTATTCGTCTTGTCGGGTGTGGGCGCCTGCCGCATCTTTATAGTCGCAGCTGGGCTGCCCATGATGCTACTGCGACGCGTGATGATAATGCCTGTCTGGGACTGTGACGAAACCGCAGTCGGAGCGGGAGCTTTTGGACGTGGAAAGATATCGTCGCGTGTGAGGGCGAAGGCTTTAGCGAGCCCTGCATCCACTGGTCGGTTTGATTCAGCATCTTCATTGGTAGCTTCTACTATAGTCGACGTCCGAGCCTGGTTCCTGTTGGCCAAATACTTGGGCACCGGAGTCATCTTTACCGGGGATGTTATGGAACTACGAGCGGCAGCCAACGTCATGGATTTACGGCGCTGCTGTCTGGTCAGACGCTGTTCGGTGGCGGCCTTCTTCACTGGGAGCTGCTTGACTCCGCCAACTCCCGTGGCGCGTACGGTGCGACGTGGGCGACGGCCGCTTAGGCTGTCGCTGCCAGTGCCGCACGATTCTTCGGCGCTGTCGTCCATTGTTTCCTCAAGGGGATCCTTGGAGTCAGAGGCGTACAAGTTTTTCTTGCGAATGATCAAACGGTTGTCCTCGCCGGTCTGCTTGATGAAGAAAGTTGGCTTTCCGGTTTCGTCAGCAGTGGAGATTGGGCTTGTGGGTACAGCTTCCTCGTTGTCTGAATTGGGCTCGCCTTCCTCCTCGTCCCAGACGTAGTCGGTTGGCTCCTTGCTCTTTTTTCCTTTATCCTTCTCTTCGGATTTCTCCTCTTTTATTTTGGGAGAGTCTGATGGCTTGTTCTCAGCTTCATCCGTTGCCGAGCCTTGCTTCTTGGGCGGCTCCTTTTCGTTAACTGCGATATCCTGCGGCTTGTCGTCCTCTTTTAAGGGCTGTGTGTTCTTAACAGCCGTGCTCTCGCCGGTGATACTCGCATCGCGCTCACTCTCGTTATCTTCGTCCTCGTCAACGATATCCTCTTGGACGTTCAGGTGTTGCCTGAGGAAACTCAGATCCTTCGCGTATTGGAAGGGTAAGCGCTTAGTTCCTGCGCGACGCCGCTGGGCGTCGACGTTCATCCAACGAGCGTACTCGTTACGCAAAACACGCCACCGTCGCCTACACTTCTCCACTGCAGCATGTTAGGGTGAGAAAGAGAAAGAGATAGACAAATACAGTTAAGTTCTCACTGTTATATTATATTCGTAAATTCTTAAAGAGGTAAAAGGAACGAGACGGTCGCCATAAAGATAGTGCTGTGGCATGTGGCAGGTAAGCACCCAGAAACAGATGGCTAAGCATTCCCCTGATTGGGGTAGTAAAGGTTGGCAATCCCTGTGCAGATCCTCGCCAAACACCCAATAATCGCAATCCGCGATCCCCTATAGTAAACCATAAATAAACCTTTTTGTGTACGTTCTTAAATCTCTAACCTCAAAAAACCAAATAAAGTTAGCACATAGCAATCGCTAATAGCCTTAAAATAGGTAGCCTGATCTCAACAATTTTAATAACTCAACCAGAGAGAACGCTATGGTCAAGTTTCAAGGCTACTGCAACCTTTTTGAGATTTTCGTTACATCGACAGCAGGCTACAGATTAACGCACGCCAAATATGGTTACACTCGATTACACAGACTGCAAGATTAAAGGGCTAATACAAATCAACAGACAGACGGTCATGGCTACATCAGGCTACAATAGATACAAGATTTTAGTCCACATTTGCTGAGTAGGGTGACCTTATATGCGAGTAAATATATCGGATACAAATATGCTTTTCTGTGAGACAACTCCAACGACAAACTCGGCATACAAGCAGACACATATACATATAGTACACATGTCCGTCTACCTGGCCGTCCATCCTGAAAATTTCCGATTTGTCGATTTCAATAAAAGTTGATATATTACAAAAAAGCTGGTACTCTGTGAGTCGCGGCCCTTGCATAGCGTCGGAATTAGTTTCTCGCTCTCTTTTGGAGGTACACCAAATTTGATTCCTCTAGCTCTCATAAACTCTGATAGCTAGGCGAGTCCTATATCGACTCAGCTATTTATGCTGATCAAGAATATACATACACAACTGTCCAAAAAAAATAAGTACATCGGTGTCGTGCTAGTTTGTTATGGAATAGCTCGTATTTTTGTAAATGTATGGATTCCAATTGTTTATATTTGGAAAGGTTACAGTCTTGCCAAGTATTTAAATCAAAAACGAGAGGGAACGTTGTGAGTTGCTGCGGACACCGCAACTCTACATTTATACCCGATACTTAGTCAGTATGGCTCTCCTCCGGCAGACGCCGCTAATATTGAACGACACGACAACGAGTGCGTGCGAGAGAGATAGAAAATCAGTCTGAGCGTGACGTCGGGCGCTGCGTAGCCACTGCAAATTGATTTGTTCCTTTTGGCTTAAAAAAATTATCTGATCTGATCCAGATTCAGCAGTCTGATAGATATGGCCATTTTCTATGATTCTGCGTTTTTAGTTTTCTCGAATCTGCAATATTGTGGATGCAACAGATTTTCGTTCTTTGTGGGGGCGAAAGGAGGTGGGGCGAAATTCTGAGATACACATTTTATAGTGAGATATAACAGGAGTGCGGATACCAAATTTGGTTACTGTAGCGTTAATAGTCTCTGAGATTTGTGGATGTCCCAGATTTTCGTCCTTTGCGGGGGCGGAAGGGGGTGTGGCGAAATTTTGAAACGAAACGGTCAAAGTCCGATATCACAGGAGTGTGGATACCAAATTTGGTTGCTCTAGCTCTTATAGCTCGGCAGAACCGACCATGAAACCTGTGTGTTAGAGAGAGACAGAGCGAGAAAGAATTCTTTCTTTCTTTTCTTGATTCTGGCTATAATAATTATACGATCTGGTTTAGATTTTGCACTCTAGAAGATATAGTCATCCCCTACGATTCTACGTTTTCTGTTTTCTCATATCCATGAAATTGTGGATGCCACAGATTTTCGCCTTTTGTGGAGGAGAAAGTGGGCGGGGCAAAGTTTTGAAATATTTTTTTAGCAGTGATATATCACTCTAGCTCTTATAGTCTTTGAGCACTAGGCGCTGATAGGGACGGACAGACGGACAGACGAACGGACGGACAGACAGACAGGGCTCAATCGATTCGGCTATTGATGCTGATTAAGAATATATATACTTTATGGGGTCGGAAACAATTCCTTCTGGACGTTGCACACATTCATTTTCACCACAAATCTAATATACCCCAATACTTATTTTGAGTATCGGGTATAATTAAAGTGGGGAACCATCTTTATAGAATTCTATGCTTCTATTTTTGCTGGATGGGCATTTTTGGTCTGACCAAAATAATAAGTACACTGGTGTTATTTATAAATTTTAAGGGATTTGGTCAAAGGCTTGTTGGTTTTTATTGAGTTTTTTCATATTTAAGTACATGAGAGGTAGACAAATTCTTTAGATAACCCGTGCTGCTGAAGAAAATTTGAAGACGAGGCAAAAAGTCGTTGAAAATCATTTGGCATGGTCTGGGTCAGATGAGGCTTAAAAGTGGAAAAATATATTATTGAGAGAGGAAACAAAAATAAATCTTTTTAAGGGAAAGAATTCGACTTTCGGTACACAAAGAAAATGGCTAAGATCGGAGGCCGATGTTTTCCGTGGCATGGCGTTGAGCCGGTACATCGCATAACTGATCTTGTGACCCAATTCGGGTATAAAAACATATTGACAGACATTATGCGACCTTATGCTGAGGAAAACATGCCCTTGAGATGGGTCTTTTTACAGGAAAATGACCCAAAGCACACCTCAAAGCTGGTCAAGGCTTGGTTTACGGGAAAAAATGTAAACGTTATGGCTTTTCATTTTTGCCAGCAGTGTATTTGTATACTTTATGGGGTCGGAAACACTTCCTTCTGGGTGTAACAGACACCACATCCATAAAAAAAACTAATATATCCATGAAGCCTTCGAGAACCGGGTTAAAAAACAACTAACTTCACCGCACCAAAGGTTATTTAATAATCGACCAATCAATCGATGTGTATCTGTGAAACAGTCCCTTGCCTACGATCATAGCCGAATGAACATAAGCAGAAATATGAGATGTACATGTTATTTAATAAGGAACACATTTTTCTCTTGGGAAAACAAATATAATCGCTTTAATGGCTTTAGAGAAAAACCAATTCGGTGCGAAGGTAAATTTATTTGAGTCTGATGGAATACTGGACTCGAAATAACACAAAATATGTACAAATTAAACATGCTAGTGCACCTAATGTTATGGGGAGGACAGATGCTCCATTCTAAAAACATTCGATCTTTTCGGCATCTTTAAAACTTAAATCACATTTAAAATCGTGATTAAATTATTATTAAACTAACTAGGTAAGACGTTGTATTTTTTTGTTGTAAGATCTAAGACTACCAATAATTAATTATAATTATATAACCATAATTATGTATGATAGTATTTCGCATTCAAATAAAGTTTGGATGCACTTGCTAAATGATTATTCCTCTTCTGAAAGCAGCCTTATAATATCTCTTAAAATCTCTAACGACAGTTTAGGCAACTCTTTTCATTGTTTCCTTTGGCTTTCATTTTTATTGGTCCTAATTATTGGCTAACCGGTTCCCCCTGCTTAATTAAACACCCGTGCAGAATGAACAACTCTGCCGCAGATGAGAGGAACAGTAAGAACGGACGGTACTGTGCCTTGTCCGTGACGCACAAGCACACACACACTAATGTTCTATTAAATCCTGTACTCTGCACTTTTAGCACAAATACACACATACGTATGTTTATATGTATGCCTGCAAGTGAAAGTTCACTTTGAGGGGCAGGATCCCTTCCAATAATTATAAAAAAACATACGTGGCAAGTTTATACAAATGCATCAACTAATAAAAGTAACATAACGCAGAAAATAATTCGTTTTGAGAATAACGGGTCCGAGTCGTAATATACCGATACTACCCGTGAAACAGCATGCACAAAACAATTGTGCTCAGAAAGTTCTATAATTCATCCTAGCACATGAAATAATAAACAGTCAAATGTTAGACACTACTTTGAAAGCCAATAACTGTTAGTAAACAAGGAACATCTGTTACATTCAAATGCGCGGGCGCAAGTGTTTAAAATCACCAAATATACAAACAAAGTGCCGATTTTCAGCACTGGCGGCACTGCATGCGAGCGCTATGCAACACTCACCCGGCTCACCTATCCCTAATGAGATATTTGAATATAATTATTTAATTTTATTTTAATCATTTAGTTTTCTCTGTGTTTTTAATTTTTATTGTCTGCTGCCGATTAGCCGATCGTTAGAAAATCCAAAGGTTCTCTCGGATAATGGCTTTAGTTTCTTTAATTTCATATTGGGAAACATTTTCAATGAAAAAAAAAACACGGCTTCTAATTGGAATAATATTGAAGTGACATCTTGGTTTAACTTGTAGCATTTTCGCATGTTCCAAATTTGAGTAAAAGTTCGCAATTGTTTGGGTGTTAGACACTACTTTGAAAGCCAATAACTGTTACTATACAAGGAACATTTGTTACATTCAAATGCGCGGGCGCAAGTGTTTACAATCACCAAATATACAAATAAAGTGCCGATTTTCAGCACTGGCGGCACTGCATGCGAGCGCTATGCAACACTCACCCGGCTCACTTATCCCTAATGAGATATTTGAATATAATTATTTAATTTTATTTTAATCATTTAGTTTTCCCTGTGTTTTTAATTTTTATTGTCTGCTGCCGATAAGCCGATCGTTTGACAGAAAATCCAAAGGTTCTCTCGGATAATGGCTTTAGTTTCTTTAATTTCATATTGGGAAACATTTTCAATGAAAAAAAAAACATGGCTTCTAATTGGAATAATATTGAAGTGACATCTTGGTTTAACTGGTAGCATTTTCGCATGTTCCAAATTTGAGTAAAAGTTCGCAATTGTTTGGGTGTTAGACACTACTTTGAAAGCCAATAACTGTTACTATACAAGGAACATTTGTTACATTCAAATGCGCGGGCGCAAGTGTTTACAATCACCAAATATACAAACAAAGTGCCGATTTTCAGCACTGGCGGCACTGCATGCGAGCGCTATGCAACACTCACCCGGCTCACCTATCCCTAATGAGATATTTGAATATAATTATTTAATTTTATTTTAATCATTTAGTTTTCTCTGTTTTTTTAATTTTTATTGTCTGCTGCCGATAAGCCGATCGTTTGACAGAAAATCCAAAGGTTCTCTCGGATAATGGCTTTAGTTTCTTTAATTTCATATTGGGAAACATTTTCAATGAAAAAAAAAACATGGCTTCTAATTGGAATAATATTGAAGTGACATCTTGGTTTAACTGGTAGCATTTTCGCATGTTCCAAATTTGAGTAAAAGTTCGCAAATGTTTGGGTGTTTAAATATTGATCGGCAATATTGATTATATGAAAAGAATGGTCCACACAGCCACACACCCGTGCAGAATGAACAACTCTGCCGCAGAGAGGAACAGTAAGAACGGGCGGTAACTGTGCCTTGTCCGTGACGCACAAGCACACACACACTAATGTTCTAAGAAATCCTATACTCTGCACTTTTAGCACAAATACACATATACATATGTTTATATGTATGCCTGCAAGTGAAAGTTCACTTTGAGGGGCAGGATCCCTTCCAATAAAATACAAGGGCGCAAGTGTTTACAATCACCATATATACAAAGTGCCGCTTTTCAGCAATGGCGGCACTGAATGTGAGCCCTATGCAAAACTCACCTGGCTCCCCTATCTCCGTAGCCACAATGACCCAACTTTGCTTAGTCGGCAACCATTTCCTGTAATTTAGGTTGCCACGATCATAAAGCGTGGTCTGCTTCTTCACTGCCTGCAACAGCTTCAGATTTGATTCGATACTAGTCATCTCTCTTATTCTCCAACCACAACAATTTTTGAAATTAATTTTTACAATGCACAACTCGCTCGGCTCAGTCGTAAAAGAAAGAAAACTAGATGGGCGTGTGAGATGGGGGCCCTTCGATAGACAGATTAACAGTCGATATAAGATATCGATACTACCAGTTAGATAGGCTAGCATAGCATAGCAAAATAATTTTGCTCAGAAAGCTGTTTAGGGAAATGAGTCAGCCTTTTAAGCTGGGCAACAATATACACTTAAGCTGATTTTATGTTCCCAGACTATTTAAAAAATATATTTAAATAAAGTAATACAATTTGTACTTCCATAGTTCATCCTACAATATAACAAAAAATCAACTGTAAAAACGGGCAACAAATGTTGATGATATCGCATATTAAAATAATTTCCCACTTATATTTGCATAATTTACTAGATTTTAGAGACTACTTGAACATGTGTCTGCCATTGTTTACTTTTTAGTTAATCATTCCACAAGAAACAACAATCAGTTACATTCAAATGCTCGGGCAGCTGCGATTAATCGATGGCGGCCGCAGATGTTTACCATCGCCAACAATTCAAACAAAAAACGAGCAAGCGGCCAATTACTTGCCGGTCGCCTCTTCGCAGCACTGTCGCTCGATAGGCGATTAACGATAGGCATGCGCATGCGAGTGCTATGCAACACTCACCCGACTCTCCTGTCTCCGAAGCCACCATGTCCCAACAATTCTCGCTGGCAAGCCTTTTCCTATAACTTCCATGATTCCGATCATAAAGAGCCGACTGCTTCTCCACCGCCCGCAACAGCTTCACATTCGATTCGACACTAGACATCGCACTCATAGGCAAACACGAAACTTTTCTAGCCTTATTTAATGCGGAAAACGAACGAGAAATACTGGGCCAAACACAACAACACGCGCAGCAGCTATTTGTAAAACGGACTGAAAACAAGAATGCACTCACACATACACAACTATTGGCTTCGTTGTGAGAGAGAGAGCAGAGAATGGCCACGAGGGCTGAACACTCGCCCTACCAGGGTTACAGAAGAATGTGAGCACATATTAATTAATATGACGCACAGGCTGCGTTGACGGCTATTTAAATCGAATGGCTGAAACTAATAAATTTTATTTATGTGCAACATAATTGTCTGTTTATTTTCATTGCTAACAATTCATCAATTTGTCTGAATGAAAAGTGATCAAACTGCATATCGCAGCCCAAAAATATTCACATTCGTTTTGTGCCTGGCAGTGCTGTGTGTGGCTTGGCTCTCTTTCGGCGCAGCTGTTCTCGCCGTGTCACTGTGTGTGTGTGTTTCATAGGTATCGTCGTGCCAGACGCACTCCGAGAGGGTTGAATCGCTTGGAATATTCTGTGCCCCTTTGGCATTTCCTGAGAGCGGACACCGTCCATGTTTTCGTTTCGGTTTGTTGTGGCATTTCTGTGTGTTTTTGTTGCCGGCTCGTTCACGTTTTGCGCTTCCGAGCATTTTCAAGTGGAAATCTAGTGGGGCTGGAACTGTAATGTAAGTTTTGTCTTGTAAGTCAAAAATTTGCTCGTTCGGCTACACTAAAGCAACAGCAAACGAGAAAGCAAGTTGGCGTCAAGCGACAGCAGTTAAAACCACCAATTACATTAGCTGCGGCCTCCCGCAGAGCCAGCGCGCCAAACAGCTGGTGTGCGCAGGCGACAAGAGTGTCGAAAACGACTTCGTCGTTCATTTCTCTTATTATTTTGGATTTTCAATGCACAGTCTGCACATTCCGCACAGAAAACAACGCCACACAATGAACACTCGGGCCAGTTTTCGGTTCCCGACGCCAAATGGTACGTGAGATGACCAATGTCACCAATACGATATATCGTATTTAATTATTAATATTTAAACTGTTGCAGATGGAATCGATATCCTAAAGGCCATCCAAAGCAAAACTCCAACTCCGGAGGTAAAGGAGAAGAATGTGAAAATATGCCGTTTGGTCTGCCAACATCCATGCCTCTTTGATCGTTCTAATGCGGCGTACAGCAAGAAGTCGCACATAAATGCAGCCTGGAGGGATATATCGAATAGAATGAACGATTCGAGTAAGTTTTCATCAACCAGATTTGTTTGATTTATATCAATTTTCTGTCTGAAAAGTCAATAGCTGCAAGGAGCGTTGGCGTAATATTCGTACCAGCTACGCCCGATCCATAAAAGATGGATTTAATCAAACCAGAAAATATTACTTGGACGAGGAGGTCTCCTTTCTAAAGTCGCACATCACACCGGGAGTTCCCAGACTTCCGCAGGGCCGACGCTCACGCGTCAATAATAAGGTGCACGGCCGTAGCGACAGCAACGAGTTCATTTTCGACACAGAGCATGCGCAAACGAAGTTGGAGCCCGACGACGAGGACACCGGAGATGACGCGAGCACTGGCAACGACTGCAAGTACGAGAACGGGGTGGTGCCCGTGCCTTGGGCCTCCATCAATCCCGACGATGCCTTCCTACAGGGTCTGCGGCCCGAAATGGAACAGATGAACTTCCGTAAAAAGCTCTACTTCAAGAGTCGTGTTTACGCCCTACTCGGCGAGATATTTGATACTCCAGAGGACGCCTCATTCTCCAACCACCAGTTGTCTGGCCGTTCCGATGCCAACGCCAACGGAGCCATGTCGACTTCCTCAACCACATCCGTGCAGCCTTCTCTTTCGACCAAGAAAGTCAAGCCAAAGAAGCGAAAATCCTCAAAAGCTATATCTTATTTAAGAACAACACTGAAATAGTTCAAATAAATACGATTACAATATGTATTTGGAGTGGGTTGTTGCATGGGGTGGAGTGGTAGGTAGTAGGGTTATCCGAATCGGATCCGAATCGAAGAAGTTCAATTATGATTTCAGTATATATCGTATGTTTATTTTTAGCAAATACTTTTGTATACGTAAACATGGGTTTTGTGTTTTTTGTTTCTCTTTAAATAATATAATAATTATTAAAAAATAGTATACATTTATAACGTTCCCGTATAATTTATGGCATAAAATATAATTGTTTTTTTTTCGGTTTTGTTTTTTTGCGTTGCTTGTGGATTGGATTAATGTAATATTGTATATAAGGAAAGAGCGCTGCTACGAAGTTTGCTTCTTAGTCCCCTCGTGTCTCGATTTTATTGTTAAAAAAAAAAACGTAAATTAGTTTCGATTAGTTATATATATGTACAATCATATCATTGATATTTTATCAGCGTATATTGGGCGGTGGTTGATGCAGCCGCATTGAAATTGAAGGATCTCAAAAAAATTGCACTTTAAATTAATAATGTATGTATGTATGTATATGTATATAGAAGTACGCATACAGTTAAAAGTTCGGTTAAATGCAAAAAAAAAAAAAAAAAGGTCGATTGGCAAGACCCTAATGGTTAGACCATCCATCAGGATTAGGGTATCGTATCGTATCCAACTACTATCAACTTAGAACTAACAAAAATTGTGGCGCATTCTTCCCCTTCTCCCTCGCCCGCACTCGTCTAGCATCTACGTCTCAGGCGAAGCTGATCTTGACCGGCCCCAGCGGCAGTTGCTTCATGTAGTTCCAGGCATCGACGCGCGTCATGCGCGCCGTTGAGGCACCATTGATGCTCAGGATCTCGTCTCCGTTGCGCACCTGGTTGGTCTTCTGGGCAGCACCACCTAGACATGATAGAAGGGGGAGAGAGAGAGTGGAATGTGTTAATGGTATTGCTCCAGATGATATAACAGATGATAACGATGGATGACGCACCCATGAAGACCTTCTTGACAATGAGCGGTCGATTTCCTAGCGGCGAGTCGAAGCCTCCTTCGATGGAAAAGCCCAGACCGCAGCTATCCTTGACAATCTCCACGCACCGAGCTCCAGCTCCAGCTCCACTGGCCGCCACATCCTCTGCTAAAGTAAGAAGGAACCTTCGATTAGAATCCACCTCTACGAGTATGTCGACTAGTATCTAGGAGTTTCTCCTCACCCTGTGCTCGAATCTCTGCTGCAATGGCATTCCGTGCCTCGGCTGCCCGCTCCAGCAGCTCGCTGGTGCTCAGCTTGGCGGCATCTCCGCGAGAGAGCTGACGTCGTGCACGAATGCCAGCGATGGTAGCCTCCGCATCATCGTCATGCAGACTGGCCGGCTGCTGTGGACTGCTGGACCCGGTGCTGGGGCTGGGCGTGGTGGTCACTGGCGAGTCGCCGCCTCCCGATTCCGCCTCATTGGACACGATGTCCAGGTCCAAGTCCAGAGATCGGGAGGCCTTGTGGTAGTTGCGCTTTCGCTCGTACTCCAGATCCGTCGGCTTCTCGTTGAGGGAGCTGAGCGAGCCCAGCGAAGAGCGTTTCTTGTTCAGAGCCTTCACAATCAGCGACTCGGAGCGGGTGACGACCAGCACCACCTCCGGACGGGGTGTCTAGGGGGAAATTTCTTGGTAAGCATCTGAATTGTAGGAGCTCCGTAGAATGTACTCACCTTGAGCACGCTGATCGACTCCCGATGCGTCAGGCCGCGCATGCTCATCCCATTTACGGCCAGGATGCGGTCTCCCTTCTTCAGGCGTCCATCCTTGGCCGCTGGCGTGTTGCTCAAGATCTTGTGTATCTGTAAATAATTAGAAAGACAGAAAGCCCATTAATTGCTGATCCTGATCCTTGGCCAAGGACGCCACCACTCACCGTTATCTCCTTAGCCTCGTAGTCAGAGCCTCCGGCCAGGGTGATGCCAATGCTGCTCTCCGGATTATCCCTTTGCAGGACAATGATGAAGGCCTCGGGGCTCTTAAGCGGCGGATCGGCCTCCTCCACAATCTGCTGCACGTCCTGGGCCGTGATCAGGCTCTGGTTGCTGCCCAGCGAGGAGAAGCTGCCGAACTCCGTCGCCGTCTCCTGGGTGGTGCTGACGTTCTGGGTGGTGGAGCTCACGCCGGAGGAGCTCGAGGCCAGCGAGTCGAGCGAGGAGAAGCGCTCGTGGTGCGGCTTCGCTGCGGCCACTGCTGGGTGCAGTGGCGTGTGCATCTTATGGTGCGCCGGGGCCTGGACCGCAGCTGCCGCTGCACTCCTCTCGAACTTCTCGCGCAGTTCGGCTGTGGTCTGGGACTTGGACGCCTCCCGCTTCGGCTCATAGGCTCGCTGCAAGGACACGGGCGCGGACACGGGCTTGGCCTGGGCCTGCATCTGCATCTGGAGTGGTTTCGGCTTGGCCTGCTGGCTGGGATCGGCCTTGAAACTGGCCTTGCGCTCTTCGTCGATGAACATGGCACTGATCTTCGCCGGGGTGTCCGAGCGCCGGCTGCTGTCGTCCGTGTCCGAGGTCTGCTCCACGTAGGCGGCCACATTGATCAGCTTGTCCACCACCAGCTGCTTGCCCAGCTGCTGCTGGAGTTGCTGCTGCAACTGGTGTTGGTGCATCTGCTGCTTGTAGCTGGAGACGGGCTTCATGCGACGCCCGGCCAGGGTGCAGACCTCGCCATCGGTGCTGTCGTTGTCCTCCTCCTGGCCGCGGTTCTTCGCGTTCCGGCACTTGGCCGAGGCCAGGATGCTCTTCCTGTTGGAGAGGGCCGCTGGGTCGCCGCTGCCGCTGCCGCTCACCTGGCTCTTGAGCACCCGCCGTGTTAGATCCAGAGCTGGCGTGCTGCCCAGGGAGCTGCAGCTGGCCTGGGAGCCCGCCGAGGAGCCCGAGGTCAGGGTGGAGGTGTTGGAGCTGGCTATCGAGGTGTTCGTCTCCGAGCTGAGGGTTCGGGTGAGGGCAAACTTCTCGGGGGGCGTCGCCACACGCGCTGTGCTGGAGAACACCGAGTCCGTGTCGCTCTCCTGGTCGGGCGGGGGCAGTGCCGGCGGCGGTGCCATCAGCCTGCAGATGCGATGGACAGTGGCAGGGATGCCGGTGGTAAGGGGTGTCAGAGGCGCACACAGGGAAGTGCGCGGCGGCTTGGCCGGCGGCTGGGACAGCTGCTGCTCCAACGGACGCCGCTGGCCGCCCGGGGAGAAGATGCTGCGGTAGGTGCTGTTGCTGCTGCCGCTGCTTATGCTATTTATGGCGAGTCCTCCTCCGTTGGTGCGGGAGCGGGTCTCGCCGAGGCCGCTGTCGGTGCTGTCCTCCCCGCTGGCCGCCTTCACCTGGCTCTTGATCTCCGGGAGGTCGAGGATGGGCTCCAGCAGCTGCGGCCTCTCCGGGATGACTAGGCCCCTCAGCTTGGACAAGCTGCGACGGCGCTGCTCCAGGATGTTGGTGATGGCCGCCTTCCGGTTGGCCGCCTCGCCCTCGCCCGAGAAGCTGATCCTGCGCTCCACAGCCGAGGCGGAGGCCGAGTAGGAGCCGCCGTGCGCCCTGCGCGGCAGCGAGGCGTAGTTGGAGGCGTAACTGTAGCTGGGATTGGAACTGAGGCTGGGACTGGGACTGGGCGTGTGCAACGAGTACATGGAGTCGGCCACGTGCAGCTGGGGCAGCTGCTTGGCCAGCTGGTACTGGCGCTGCACGTCGTTCAGGTTCTCCACGCTCATGGCACGCGTCTTCAGCGCGGGCGCCGGAGTGGAGGAGCAGGTGTCCAGCAGGTTCTCGCTGCTCCTGTTCAGCGGCTTCCGCGAGAAGCTGGAGACAGCTGCGGCTGGCATGGTCATGGTCGGGGCTGCTGGCGGAATCGCGTCCAGCTCGTTGTTGGAGGAGAACATGGCGATCTTGTCGCGCACGGACTTCTCCGACTTCTCGTCCTTGCGCCAGTCGCTGGGCTTCCGCGGGGCGCTCGCGCTCAGAGAGCGCTGGTAGTCCCGTCCCAGGCCGGGCGGCGTCTTGGTCTCTGTGGTGTCTCTGGAGCGGGCATCCTCCACGTTTATCACCAGATCCTGGCGGTACACCTTCCTGGGCACTGTCGGTGGTGGCCCCGTTTTGGGCAGCGGCGGTGCTCCGGTCTCATCCTCCTCGAGGATGTTGCTGTTGCTGCTGCTGTTGTTGTTGTTGTTGTTGTTGTTGTTATGCTCGAAGGAGAGCTCTGCCTTGGCCTTGAGCAGCGCCGGGTGTGTGTGTGGGTGTGGGTGCATGTGCGAGGGATGCATGATCAGAGGTTCGCTGAAGTTCGGGGGGAACTCATGGCCGTCGGGCGGCAGGCGGGAGTAGGTGGGCGGCGAGGCGTAGCTCAGGTACTCCTGCCCCACCAGCTGCTTTGTGGTCGCCTGCAGTTGGTGTGTGGCTGTCGTTGTCGTTGTGGTTGTGCTCTGTGCGGCTGTGGCTGTGGCTGTGGCTGAGGCGCTGCTCAGCAGCTCCATTTTGTTGGCGCCGCCCTTCGTTGTGGTTCCAGTTCCGGTACCGGTGCCCCCTGCGCCTACGCCTGCTCCTGCTCCTGCTTCTGCGGGCGACTTTTTCTTCTGATTGATGATCGTTGTCGTTTGGATGCTGTTGTGGCTGTTAAGGGTAGCAAGATCTGCAAAGGGATTGGCAGAGAGCGGGAAAGGTATTCGGTTAGCAACACAAAAACACACACACAAGGATTCAACAAATGGTGGATGGATGGGCTAGTATCTTGGATTGGAACTAAGGAGTTTATTTGATTAACATAGATCTAAGGACCAAGGGCTAAGAGGAGAGGGGGGTTACATTCGTTTCTCTTCAGAGATAATATGAGTTGGAGTAGTATGCTGTTGGATAATTGAAAAAGAAGAAAACCACAAAAGAAACGTGAGTACTACATTCGTACACTATTTATGATCTTTTCCAAAATGCCATTTCCATTGGCGCAAAAACTATCATTTAAATAATGCGTCAATTAGTTTTCGGTAGAGAGAAAGAGCGAGA